TTTTTTTTTTTTGATACAAAGATAGAGGCAAAACGCCTAATAGTTTAAGTTGCACACGGTCTGTGGGTAGGCCAAACCAATGAGATCATGTTGTAGCCACTATCGATCACTATCTGCCGGAGCATTATAGAAATGATACCCCAATGATCCTTCCGCAGCGAAGGAAGCCAGATAATAGGCTGCAGAATTCGTTTCACGAAATACATGTTTCACCTTGACCACCCAAGGTCGACTTAATAGTTCTTTGATACTCGATACAAGGCTTGTATGCACCCCCGATACATCATTGAGAGATGTAGCGAACCCCACGGCACTCTCGTTGTCAACTTCTACTTTGACTTGCCTAAACCCCAAAACCCCAAGCCAAAGAAAGGCTCCTGAAACAAGCTTCATAATTCTACAACCATGATCGAGCAAACTCCGGTTTTCATTGTGAAACCCCCTAGCCAATGGCCTTGGTCGTCACGGACCAGGCCGCCGGCACACCCCATACTCGACATCGCATTAAAAGAACCATCCGAGTTTACTTTAATCCATCCCGACAGAGGTTTCTCTCAACATATCCATTGCGAGGTTCTCATGCGGCCCGTTCCCCCAAGCTTTCTATCACCTTCGAGCACCCTCGTAAGCCCTACGACATATGCGGTAACCTCTTGTAAGCCACCTGCTACTCCTGTTTTTTTCCCCTGAAAGAGATGCTTCCTCCATTCCCATAATTTCCACACCACCACCCCATAGATGCATGCCCAGTTATCCACCCCTATGTGCGACGGGTGCACCAAACTCGAAAAAAGCCACTGTTCAATATTTAAGCAAAGAACTCATCGTGGAAAGTACTTGGCAGCAAACGTCTCCATATTCCGGCGGCCATCGGACAGTCACGAACAACATGTAAAATGGTCTCCTCGGCATGATCGCACGTCGCACAGAGAACATTGTTCGTCAAATGTCGCCTACTTCTTTCCACGTTAGTGAGCAGTAGATTTTTTGCCAGGAGCCAAAGGAAATTTCTTATATGTTGAGGACTTGGCCATTGCCATACAACTCCCCATAATGGTCTCGGACCCGAACCCATAATGCCATCTCCCATCTAACAGGTCGTACGCGGACTTGGTGGTGAATTTTCCGGTGGGCGATTGGCCCCAGTATAAACGGTCGCCGCTCAGCTCTACTCGCGGTCGCATGACTGGAGCAAAACAGATGCCGGTACCAAGTGTGAGAACAAATTCTAACGCCATGAGCCCCCATCCGAGGCAAAGAACCGGACATTTTTGACGATTAAATCTGAAGGGACCGCTCCAGTAGAGACATTGAGCAAGATTATGTTCGAATAAACCCTTTGTCGGTCCAGAATTTTGTCTGTCTCACCATTGCACAGCCAAGCGAGCCCACCAACGACATCACTGTTTATCCACTCACATAATTTTAACTACCTATCATTTTCAATATTCTCTCTCACACTTTTACATCAAATCAACTTTTATTATTTTATTTTAAATATTTTTTAGTTTAATATACATTCAAAATCTCACTAACAACTAACCACACGACTTATTAAAAAAAAAAAAAAAAAACTAACTACACGACTTTTTTCTGAATTAACCCTAGTTAACTAAAAAAACTCACTTTGAATGAATTTATTGGTTTACAAACACACCCTTAAAGTTAAGGGTCGTTGATTACTTTGAATAATTGAGCAACAAAATATATATGAGGTGGCAAAAGGGGGAAAACAAAACAAATTAATTGCAAAATAATAATAATAAATATAATAATAATAATAATAATAATAATAATAATAATAATAATAATAATAATAAAAGAAAAATACAATGTGTACATGGAAATGTACTGTTGTATATCAGTGAAGACTTATTACACTCTCTGTGCCGGCAACAGATAATTTACAGCTAGCCAGGAGGACTTAAAAAAGAACATAAAAAAAAAAGGCAGAGTTACATAATAAACCAATGAGTTTGGGGCTAATTAGTAAATTAAATCATGTGGTATACTATTAAGTATTAAGCCTCACTAGGAAAACAGCAGCTTAATCCTTCCTAATCACCTTTTAGATCAATATTCTAAGACTGTGCATGGTACTTGGCCAGCCTGGCAAGAACCCCAACTGCCATTGAGTTAGTGTATGTAGTGGGCTCGGTCATGGCCGAACTCGTGCGTTGATCGATAAAGTTATCGTTTTTGTCGGGCCCGCCAACTATGGCACCCGTAAGCTCGTTTGCATTGGGCCCGTTATTGTTGTACCAATATGTGAAGCTCATGGGGCAACTAACTACTTTAGTGGGAGCCATTTTAGGTACAGACGCGCCCCTGTGGTGGGCCCGCATCGGCGGTTTATTACCAAACCCGACCATGTAAGAGCTTCTCCTCGGGTTCTTGCCGAGTAAATAATCCATCTGCATATATATATATATATATATAAATATGATTTTTTTTTTGCCTGTCTACAAAAGAACCCATGTAGTTTTCAAGACATTTGTTTCTATTTATAAGTATTTCTTGTGTGTTTTTTTTTTTTTTCTTTCACCTGTTGTTTGGCGAAGGTCATCAAACGGGCCGGCCCGAATTTCTTCCCCCCACAAATGACTTGTTGCTTGTGTCTTGACAGGATATCACTATAGATGCTGAAAACGAGAGCCGTGCCCGTCACGTACTGCGAATTAGCTCCATCCCTTAAGTGCACTAATCCTCCTGTCAAGGGTCATTACTCATTAAACAAGTTCATTTTGCTAGCTACCTAAGAAGAAAAAATTGAAGTGAAAAGAAGAAAAATAGAGAAAATTGTATAAAAAAATGTTAATAGAAAAACTAATCTAACCTGGAGAGATGAAAACTTGATGATCAGGGCTATCGGGAAGCACCGAACATATATAACTGTCGGCTTGTTGCTTGAACTCGTGCAAATCTTTTCTTCCCTCCATGTAGAACTAGTTTTAATTTGTTGCAAGTAGGATATTAATGTGTTTGTCATCATCGATCAAAGGAGAAAATGAAAGAGAAGTGTGCATTTGATGAAAAAAATGTCTGTGTAGAAGAGAAAAATGAAAATGAAATGGTACTTGTGAGAGGATGACTTGGGCTCCGGCGTATTTGAGGTCCCAACTAAATTCGGAGACGGCTGCACTTATGGCCTCGTCTTGAATGAAATCCATGTATAACGATCTTCTTGTTGCTTTGTATAGCCATGTTGCTGCCCATAGCAACTCATCCTACAGAGAGAGAGAGAGAGAGAGAGAGAGAGAGAG